AAAACTATTGTAATCTTGTCTTCTGATATCTTTTAGAAATCTGTAGATTGATTGAACAAATCATTTATTGTTTTGTAGCTTGTTAGCTGAATATCTTTCTAGCAGTAGTTTCTAGCAACGATTTAGAAAACTTTGAATGACTTTAATGTACCAAATACTTGTTTAGTGATCTGTTTTGTGAACATGAATTCAATTCAACCCCATTCACTTGTCTTCCTTGATCTCCCAACCATCCTTTCGCAAAACTCGTAAACACCAAAATCCTATTTAGAAACATTGCCAATAAATCGTTTCAAAGATTCCCCTCCTCAAATCCAATAATTTTTATTTCTTTTCTATTTACTCAAAAGCAATCGTGAAAATAGAAAGCTTAATCCAATATTCTATATGATTTCTTTTCGAGTTCATCAACTTCATTTTCAATGCAATAAAAACTAGCTACAACTTGCCTAATCCGATGTTCTTGCACATCTCTTTTCCACAAATTCACGTTCAATAAACTTTTCGATAATTTTTGCAGAGTGTTGTAAAAAGTGAACTTTCTCAGTTGTAGTTTTCAGTTTAGTTGTAGTTTTCAGAAAACTACAAAGAAAACAAAGTTGTAGTTTTCAGAAAACTACAAACTAAAGAAAAAGGAAACTCTTCAGTGATAAACGATAAAAGAGCTTTTTAAGAATTGATCCAGTCAAGATCGATTGTCCAAATCACCTTGATCCATCTCTAAATATCCATCAGGTCCATCTGCTTTACATTTTGTCGACTCGTGATGATCTAAAGCAATATCCGTAGTGATCGGTCGATTCCGATCGTCGTTCAATTCAAATTCAATCCAAATTCAATTCAAAATTCAATTCAAACTTCAATTCAAACTTCAATTCAAACTTCAATTCAAACTTCAATTCAAATTCAATTCAAATTCAATTCAAATTCAATTCAAACTTCAACCCGAATCCTATCCGCGACGTCGGGAACGGCTAGTCCTTGGTTCGAATCTTTCATTTTTGTTTTTGAACTTTGAATGAAACTTCAATCTGAATCCTATCCGGATAGTATAAATTAGATTCTTTGACTTCTTAGAGTAAGAAGTCAAAGAATCTAATTTAGAGTAACTTCTTCTCCTCATTCCTTCTGAGGGCGTTTTCTTCCAACTGTACACTTTTACAATAGAAAAATTTGCAGAAATTCCCCCGACAGAAATCTCAAATTTCACCATCAGAAGCCGATCTGTTTTTATCATTTTTCTCGTGTACAAATGGGTCGTAAATTTCTGATCGACATGGAATTTACGATCATTCCCGAGAAGAGAAGAATTCTGGAATGACATTTCTTGCTTTTCTCGTTTACACAAGAAAAATAGATTCGTCACGTGGCTTTTGAATAAAAAATAAATAAATAAAACTGTTTACAAAACAAGAATTTCGTTTAAACGAACTGAAGGAAGTGATAGAGAAAAGAAAACTAAAAATTGATTGAGAACATTGGGTGAATTTTGGTTCAAATCAAACGTGTAAACAGAATGTCTTGGAAGACAAATTTCACAAATAATTGTTAAATTCGGTCAAGCTAACAACAATTCCTTTTCTGAAGGCCAGGCTAGACCAGGCGAGACCAGGCTAGACCAGGCTAGACCAGGCGAGTCCAGGCTAGACCAGGCTAGACCAGGCTGAGACCAGGCGAGACCAGGCCAGACCAGGCAAAGCAAAGTTAGGTCCGGTCGAGCTAGACAAGGCTAGAATGTGTTCCTCGCGAGTAAGTAATTACTCGAGTCAAATTTGCATAAGTTTTTACTCGGTTAATCGACGTTTTTTCGTCGAGTAACTACGAGTAATCCTCTTTACACTTCGAGTAAATTGAATAAAAGGGAGGGAATTTGCCACCAAATTATTTAAACGGCTGAATATCTTCTTAAAAAAGTCGTATATAAGTCGTCGCTCGTGATTTTCGCTAAAAGTACGATAATTTTTCCTAAGTGTGCGTTTTAAAAAAAACGCATTACTCGTGAGGAAAAGACTCTAGACAAGGCTGGTAAGTCCGAGAAAAAATGGTGTCAAAGCAACCCTAACATCATGGAGTTTGTAAATGTGAAGAGAACACGATTGATTTATCGATTCTTATCGAATCCAGACCAATCTTGAGTCTGATCAGAGAAAAAAACGCATTACTCATGAGGAAAACACTAGACAAAGTTGGTAATTCCGAGAAAAAAGGGTTTCAAAGCAACCCTAACATCATGAAGTTTATAAATGGGAAGAGAATACGATTGATTTATCGATTCTTATCGAATGTTGACCCTTTTCATAAACAGAATTTCCTTTTTTAACCTACAATTCTGTGACTCAACCACGCCATTTCCGAAATTCCAGACCAATCTTGAGTCTGATCAGGCGAAATCAAGTTTCTTTTTGCTTTTCAAAGACTCTTTTTCATGAAGAATTTCTGATTTCTGAGCCTAATCTCTTCATTCCTTTCCTTTTTTTGTATTATGGGACCATCACTTTTCTGCTATTTTTGGAAATTTTTGAAAACAGCCGAAATATCACCAAAAGTCGAGGAATCTCTAAAAATGGCTGTAAATGAGCTTTTTTTCAGGGATTTACAAGCATAATTTTTGGAAAGATGAACACAAAGAATGACCAGAAGAGGGGGAAAAAGAGAATTTTGAAGGAATTGAGCCAATTGCTTATTGCTAATTGAACTGTAAAAATGAACATTTCTCATCAAATGCAAAAGAAGCTTAGCATGTAGAATTTTTGTAAACAATCTTAATCCTATGAAAAAAAAATGCCGATTAATTGGCACAAGAGCATAAGTAGAAGTTAAAACGCACTAAACTCAAAGTCAGACAAAGCATACTGTAGCTCAAATCTATTTCAGTCAAATCATTTTGTTGTGACGAGCCAGATTTTCGTCATAATTTTATTAAAAAGTTCTCCAAAGTTTATTCATTTATCGAAGATGAGCAAGTATTGGGTTGGTGAATTGAAAACTGCGGAACTTTGAACTAAAATTTATTCAACATAAAACCATAAATTCATTTCAAATAATTCCCATTATTATTGACGACTTCTGCCCATTTTACAGGCAATTTGCGGATTCCTCTTTCGTAGTAGGATTTTGGTTTTGAATCGAAAAACTTCTCGAGCCAATTTTTGACTGCTTCTTCCGAATCGAAGTGTTCTCCTGCAGGCTCATTACATGATCCGGAATAAATAGTAATCAAAAGGGGCGAGATCCGGACTGAATGGGGAATGCGCCAAAAGTTTCCAAACAAGGCTATTTATTTTAGAGTCAGTTTTGCAACATGAGGGCGCGCGTTGTCGTGGATGAGAACGATCTTTGACTTGGAGGGCCTATTCTTCTTCAGGGATTCATTCACCTTTCCCAACTGTGTGTGAGACAAGTGTGAGACTCAAAAATGGAGGACTGGAGATGTCCCAGTTTGAGCACTTTCTTCAAAAGAAACCCATTTTGGTGTCAATAGAAAAGTTGTAGAGAATCAAAAATGAGGCTTATAGACAACTTTCCAAAAAGAGACACCTAGTAGTTTCGCTTAAAATGCGAGTTTTGTTTCAATTTTTGTGAAAATTCGTAGATTTGGCATTTCTTGAAAACCAGTTTTTGAATCGTTCTGAAAATTTGGATATCAGCTTCATTTTTGATTCTCTACAACTTTTCCATTGACACCAAAATGGGTTTCTTTTGAAGAAAGTGCTCAAACTGTCACATATGACAATAGCCGGCAGTTTTCAATTCACCAACCCAATATTTTACAATTTCACTCTTCTCATAGCGGAAAGTAGAATAAGTACTGTGACAAGCAAAGTTCTATCAAATTCGCAAATATTCGCAAATATTATTTCATTTATTTTGTAATTCATTGTCTAGCCTTTCTTTAGATAAATAGCAAATGATATTCAGTGTAAAGCGTACACGATTGTTTACACTGGATGATATTGAGTGTACACAATCGAGTCAGCTCAACAAACAGAACTACTACTCAAAAGTTTTGTTATACAAAATGTGAGCTTGAAGACTTTTTTAATCAAGTGTCTGTTGCTTTTTTAATTAAAGCAAAAGCTACTCAGTCAGATATTTGAAAACTACTACTTTGTCCTTTGAAAATAGTATCCCAGAAAGCACAGGGAAAGCTGGAAAAAGCTACAATACTACAGCTAATGCTGTAGTATTGTAGAAGTTGTGTTTAGTTTTGAAATTCCACTCAAAATCTTTATTTGAGATGGAATAAAGATGGAAAGAAATAAAGATTTCTTCTTTCAAATCTTTCAGGATTTATGATCGAAGATCTTTTGTGTAATCTTTTGTGTAAAATCATAAATTTCCGACTGATCACAGAAATTTTAAACTTTTCATACTTTTGCTTGGAACATAATATCCAAAACTTTCCATATTTTAAAACAATAATTTATTTCACTTCATTGAAGTTACTTCTTTTTTTTTTCAGAACAAAACAATGTTCAGATCAATTGTAGGTGTATTTCAAAAGAAAAGTACCAAAAAAAATAGTACAAAGTTTAATCCCATAAAGCGATAATAATATTGAGATTAATGAGGAAAAAAAAATTGAGGATTTATGAGTTAATTTGTTCGTTGAATTGCGAAAAAAAAATGTTGTGGGGGTGGAGGAAGTTGAGATCAAAAGAAAAAGAAGATGAGATTGAGAAAAACAATTAGCATTTGAAAAAGTTGACCCGAAGAGATTTATGCATACATAGTAGTGCTACAGTAGTGCTACTGTAGCACCACAGTAGTGCTACAGTAGTGCTACTGTAGCACCACAGTAGTGCTACAGTAGTGCTACAGTAGTGCTAACATAACATACTAACATACAGTAGTGCTAAATAGGAAACCAGGTTTCTCAAATTTCGAATAAAAACATTTACCTAAATTGCAAATTGGTACAGTAAACTTAGTGCAAAGCTTTGATAGAAGATTTAAAGATTATTTTCTATTTTTCTTTTCTTTTCTACAGTATCCTATCACAAATTGAATTGAGTCAAATTGAGGAAACTGGTGGAAACGTTTTGGAAGAGATTTGTCGACACTTGCGACAGCTTTTTGGTTACGATAGACGAAAGAGGAGACTCGGATGAGGCACGGTGATGTTTGTTGTTGAATAAAGTGGATGGAGGTTGGAATGATGGGGTTGATGGGCTGAGGCTGAGGAGAGGAGCTGATGGGACTCGTCGAAGGGGTTGTTCAACTGAAAATTAGAAATTAGAATACCTCTGAGCTTGGGTTATTGTAGCTCTATTTTTGCGTTACAACTAGTTATTCTCTAGTTACAACTAGTTATTGCTAGTTACAACTAGTTATTTCTAGTTACAACTAGTTATTCTCTAGTTACAACTAGTTATTGCTTGTTACAACTAGTTATTGCTACTGGAGTTACTGTAGAATGTGGATCACTCACCATTTAGTGTTGTGTCCATTTGCAGAGAGAATTTCGGCAATTGAAACTCGAAAGTCGGAGTCGGAGTCGGCTTTTGCGTGAAAGACGTCGACGGAGAGTTGCTTTGCGAAACGGAATGCATTGAGTACTCATCAAAATTCACTTCAAAAAGCATCGTTCGAGAAAATGAGTTTTCGATCAGACAGAAATCTGTTTCTGTCACCCGTTCACTCGTTTTATATACCCCCATTTCTTGTGTTTCCATCCATTTCTCTTCAAATCAAAAATCCCGCCCCATTCCCCAGCGCCATTCTCCATCTTTTCCCTTCTTTTCCCGTCTTTTCCCGTCTTTTCCTTTCTTTTCCTTTCTTTTCTTTCAAGTGATTACGCAAAAATTTCTTTTTTTTCTTTTTATATTCGCAAATTATTACATAGAAAAAGGTTTCCCTTTTACGGTCATCAGTGGCCTCAATTTCCTGTGAGCAAATGCTTTACGACCGAAATAGATGTGGCCAATCAAAAAGTCAATCATGTATCCAAAAAGAAGCCCATTTTCTTCTTCTCAAAAATACAACACAAATTGAAACTATGACACTCTGTTTTCTATTTTTGGCAATGATTTGTGAGATCGAAATTTTCGGGAAACTTTGAAGTCAGAATGGATCAGAATGAAATTTTCGTTAAACTCTGAAATCAGAAATGGAAATATTTCCTTGGTAATTTGATGATTTTGATAAGTCTAGAGCTTCATAAAAAGACAAACTAAAGGCAAAAAAACCTAAAGGCAATTTGGTTCTTCTCGGAAATCCGCGTTTTATAAGTCTTATCATTTTATAAGTCGTAATCGCCCTCCATTTGGCGTAGGGTTCTGGTATAAGAGTTTCCCTTTTGGAATCCGTAAAGGAGAAGAAGCGGTGAACCATTTTCTCTCAAAGGACCTGGATTTTCGAGAAGTACCGGCAGTTTTCCTGAGTCAATCCGAGCCAGACCAGAAATCAGTTCCCACTATTAGTCTGGCTGTTGCGGACTGGAGCTGCCATTACTGCAAGTTTCGAACCCTGGGCTTGCTCTCTGGCCTGCTTACAGCCTCCAAGACTTGTTCTGGAACATCCACGCAGCTCTTCACGACAGACTATAACATCAAAACCGAGCTAACGGCTAACACTCACCAGTTACAAGAGATTTGTAAAGAGATTATAAAACCTTATTATTTTAAAACTATTTCTATTATAAAACGTAAGTTTTCTTTATGTGATGTTATTGCTAGGAAATGTTACTCAGTTCTTGGAATGTGTTTTTAGTTATAGTGAGTTTTTCACATGAGTAAATTCCTAAATTCCCCACAGAAATGAAAGTACAAAAATGAACAGGAAACCGTTTTCTTTTTGGTGGCTAAATTTAGAAGCAATGTGGAGAAAGCGATTCTTTCTTCCTTGTTCTCGAAAATACTACGAAGTGAACCAGGAAATTATCCCAGATTTAGAAATCTTTATTTACTTTTTAACCAAAATAAACATACTTCAAGATGTTCAAAATAGACTGGCAAAAAAGTTGGCTTTAGTTGTTTAATAGAGTACTATACTACTATACTACTAGAGTACTATACTATACTATACTATTGTACTATACTACTACTTTACTATACTGTACAAATACTATTTTACATCTCGAATATCTCATCTCAAGCTGTTGATTTTTAAATCACATTCTTTTCCCGTGAATTTTGCTGTCATTTTGCCGGTATTGAGTAAAAATTTGACTTTCAAATAGGTTACACTAGAGTTCGGCAAACAAAACCAAAACCAAAACACCAAAACAAACCAAAATCAAAACAAACCAAAACCAAAACAAACCAAAACTCAATTTGCATATAAATTAACATTTAAATTTAAAATTGTAAAATGCAAATTTGCCTTTCACTTTTTCTCACTCCACAAAATCTCGCGGCCGAAAAAAGGACCAAAACACGACCTCGAAATTTCGAAAATTTCGAAATAAAAAATAGCCTATGGGATAGATTTTTGAATGCTGATTTCAAATCTGCAAACAGATTTTCGCTAGCTCCTCCCAGTCGCGAGATATTGGCGAGTTTTGGTTAGTTTTGGTTTTGGTTTTGGTTTTGGTTTTTGTTTTGGTTTTGGTTTTGGTTTTGGTTTTGGTTTTGGTTTTGGTGGTTTTGGTTTTGGTTAAGTTTTGTTTTCCGAAGTCTAGTTTACACATCAATTGTACTTCAAATTATTTCATTAACTTTTTCTTTATTCAAATTTGAATGACTCATCTAGGACTAGACTGGAGTAGAAAGTTCAAGTTCAAAAATTCTCCTTCTTTTTTTTCTCCTCCTGATACTTTCGTCTATATTTGCGTCGATTTTCAAGAACAAACAAGTCATCAAAGAAATTGAAACTTTTGATGTGGAAATCCTCAAAAATTACGTCAAAATTGGTGATTTCTGTTCTCGTGGTGTCCTTTCTTTTTTTCCATCCTCTTTCCATTCTCTTTCCATTCTCTTTCCATCCTCTTTCCATTCTCTTTCCATCCTCCATTTCCATTTCATATTCATCTCACTTCTTCAGATCAGTCTAATCCCCGTCTTTCGTTTTTGAAAGGTTTCATTTTTCCACTTCAATTACGAAATGTTCAAAATTTGCAAGGGGAAAAAAGAAAAGCAAATGCTCTGCTTTGTGTTGAACGATAAGCATGATGCAAGCGGAGAGATAGAGAGGAATCGGCTGTGTGGTCCTCGAGGAAAGATTTATGGGAATTGCGAACTATTTGGTGAACAAACTCTTGAAGATAAACTGAAGATAAATTGTGAAATAAATAATCTAGCTTATAGATTCGTCGAGTACACGTCGAGTAAACTAACGTCGGTTCTGCAAACTGCTGTTCTTTGTTCCATCACGTTAAAGACCTTCATGGTCACAAATTTCTGCAAATGAGAAAAAGCTATAGCAAATATTAGGTAAATTTTAGATGTCTTTTAATAAACCGCAATCGATCATCTCTCTCAATTTGCCAAATGCTAAATGCTAAATGATTTCAACTATTCTAATGAGTCAACCTGTTGGCATTTGCGAAATTTTGGGAATTCAAAAAATCTACGTCTAAATCGGGCACAGGAAATGGGAAAAGAATGTGTGTAAATATTTTGCCGAACAAGACGATTCAAAAAAAAATTGGAGAAGAAACCCGGAGATCGTTAAAAATGAGTAAAAAGACAATCACAGAGACACGTGTGCGTAAACTCTTCGAATAGCTTTTTTTTTCTCTTATCTCATACGGTCATAACTTCTCACTTATGGATATTATTATTGTATGAATGTTTTTTTGGGTCAGCTTCAGACGTCAAAGAACATTTTAAAATTCGCGGGGGGCTTTTTTGATGTTTTCAAGTGGGATTTCAATGTTTTTTCTCTAATAGTAGTACACCATGAGCGTCGCCTAAATTGCTCAAAATCTCGAGAAAATACCGTAAATTTCAATAACCTCGTCTGCAAGTTACGGTTGAAACCACAGGTTTACTGTGGCATCTAGGAAAGTTACGGTTTACGGTAATTGAGTGTTGATTTAAAGTATCGCATTCTTTCTAATAGTAGTGCACCATGAGCATCGCCTAAATTCCTCGAAATCTCGAGAACCGCTTATCAAAACCTATCGATGTGGGGTCGGAAAATGTAGCTGACGATGAGATCTTGTGGGGGATATGAGTGTTGAGCTTCTGTGAAAGCTTGGAAAGCTTAACCCTGGATCAGGTCAACAATCAGATTGGTTTGGTAACGCTGTTATCGCATTTTCCCCTAGTGCACCATGAGCGTCGCCTAAATTCCTCGAAATCTCGAGAACCGCTTATCAGAACCTATCGATGCGGGGCCGGAAAATGTAGCTGACGATGAGATCTAGTGGGGGATTTGAGGGTTGAGCTTCTGGGAAAAATTGGAAACCGTAAAATAATCATCAACTCGGCTCAGCCAAGTGCACTACTAGGGAAAATACGGTATACAGAAAGAAAGAAATATTACAGAAGAAATTTGATTTAGATTCAGATCAGCTAAATTCTGCAAGCTTAAAACTTCAACCTTATCCATAAAATGGGTACTGTATTGCCATTTTTTCCAACGCAATTCATTCAAATCTAGTTTTTGTGGTTTCGACTGTGTTTTTGCATTTGCAAACGGTGGAAGGAAAGCACAAAATCGACTCAAAATGTCAATAAGGATTTATAGTTGAGATAATACGCTACAAATTCTTTAGTTTTCTTTTAGCCCATTTTTGTAGTTTCCTTTTTTTGAGTAATGAAAAGTATGCTGAGTAATACAGAAAGCTAAAACTTTGAGAAATAACAATACTGAAATTGAAAAAGAAGTTTGCTTTGTATTCTTGATCATCAAACAAGATTGTTTCAAAAGTAATTCAAAGGACCTGGACTTCCGAGAAGTACTGTCAATTTTTCCTGAGTCAATCCGAGCCAGACCAGAAATCAGTTCCCACTAGTAGTCTGGCCGCTGCGGACTCTTGGAAGAGTCCAAGAAAGGCCAGGGTCAGCTTCTGGAAGAGATCGAAGCCAAAAGTTCTGGATCAAAGCTTCTTGCCTGGCCGCACTTACAGTTGGAACATCTCTGGTCGAGAGGAATACATTCTGATATCGAAACTCGAGTCACAATGACCTAACAACTTTTCCCTTATAAAATTCCCTTGACCATCTTCCATCTTCAAATCCTTTCTTGTTTACAAGCCCAAAATGGATTTAAGAATGCCATCCATTCACAAAACAAAACGTTCATCATTCATCAAAAAAAACTCAAGTATCTCATTCGTATTCCCCATTTTCAAATCACATGTTCTAATCCGCCATCCGGTGAAATAAACAACGATAACATTTGTCGTAATTCGTAAATTTTACGTGTCCTTTTCAATCCTACGTAGTTAACTTCCAAAAGATATTGTTTAATCTTTTTGACGATCAAATCAAGAAATTATTGGCCCTAGATTATCCAAGAGATTTTTGTTTTTTAAAACAAACGAACGAATCTCTAAATCTGTGGATTTGCTAGGATTTTAGGGATTTGTTAAAGTCATACAAAATTTGGGGGTGATGATGAGGAGATCACTGATTCACTGATCACTCAATTATTCAATGAATATAGAAAATTCACGTAGTTGCTTTTGTTTACTTATACTTTGTTTACTTTTGCTTCACAGAAGTGCTTTTGTTTACTTATACTAGTTTAAATCTGAAAAATTACTTACAAAAATTTGGTTTTTAATGGATTGATACGAGCTTTTGCTTTAAAAATCAATTTATTTTAACTCACGATGATCATTTTAAGTGTGCTACCTTTTTTTGGGAAAACATCTTTTAGAAAACTTTGACTCTTCCCACTATATTCTGATGTTTAATGTGAAAAAGCCTCACTCTTCTTGTTTTAAATCTAAACAAGGTATTTGTAGTACAGTAAATCTATAAAAGAACTTAATACTTTTATCTTTATCTTTATCTTTATCTTTATCTTTATCTTTACTCTTGTTTACTCACTCTTTGTTCAACCTCGAGTCACTTTCTTGAACTCCGGTAACGTCACAGAAAAGTCTAACTTCTGCTCTCTGCTCTCTGCTCTCTGCTTATCCGTGATTCACCCTAAATCATGGTTTATGATCCAATCCAGAATCGTTTAAGCTCACAACTTTTTCCCCAAAGCACCCCAATCCAAATCAAAAATAATCCAAACTTTTGCGTCTTTAATAAAATTTGACGATTCGCGAATGATTCCTGCGAATATAAGCAATGAAATTCCTGTGACTGACCTCAATCAAATCCGATTATCTCCCGAGAAACTTTTGTTGGAAATAAATAAAAGCCGGGGATTACCGAAAAAATAGAAACTTTTCATCTTGCAACCATTTTTTGAGAGGATTTCCAAGGATACAATTCACGTAATTCAAGGATACAATTCACCGAAAGTAATTTAGTTGAAAAAAAGGCTTTGATGAAAATTTCTTTGAGGAAAAATGTTGTTGTGAATTGGGATTTATAAAAATCATTGAAGCAGACTTAACTCGTCATAGCTTAACTAATCTTCAACAATTAATACGCGAGTTTTGGTAGAAATTATATAGAAACTTTATTCAGGACCTGAGATAAAGTGCGCTAGATTTAAGATTAATACACATGAATTCATTCATACACATAAACACGAAAAGGGTCGATAAAAAGCAACACGATATAATACCGTATTTTCTCAAATAGTAGTGCACTTGGCTGAACCGAGTTGATGACTATTTTACGGTTTCCAATTTTTCACAGAAGCTCAACACTCAAATCCCCCACAAGATCTCATCGTCAGCTACATTTTCCGACCCCACATCGATAGTTTCTGATAAGCGGTTCTCGAGATTTTGAGCAATTTAGGCGACGCTCAGGGTGCACTACTATTAGAGAAAATACGTTATATGTAATATATGGGTAGCACAGATAACGTCAAGGATCCACTAGAGCTTCAAGATCAAGATCATTTACAATTAATTTAAAGGTTTCGAGACTATTGGACTCTCGAGACTAAATTAAAACAAATTACTAAAATTAAACCATTAATTCGCGATTTTTGGTCAAAGTTTAGGAATTATTTGATTTTAAAACAATCATAACTCTTTTGCAATTAAAATTAATCAATTTGCAGTAGCAAAAGTCTATGAACTTGATGATTTTACTAAAAATGGAAACTTGTTTAGCGATTGTGATATAGTTTTTTAAAACAAATAACAACTTTTACCATATTTGCTTTTCTATAAACCGAAATCTTTTTTATCGAAATCTATCGAAAATCAAGAAATCTATCGTCATGCTGATTTTCTAAACATTCGCAAAATCGTTAAGCGGTTTAGTGTGACAAAACACTACACTTTACTTTTGATGAACGTGTAAGCCTACAACTTGCAACAACTTGCAACAACGAAGTTCGCAGGCTTAGAACTTTTAAGAAACTAAAGCTCCTTGTTACATTGATACCCAAACTCCTGATAGATTATAATCTTCCGGTAATGAAACTTCTAAATTCGACACTTCCCGAGAGTCAGTGATCTTAAAGTTTTTTGTATCTTTTCTTTTCTATTTTCGGCTTGCAACTGATTGCGTCTTATTAATCGCAAAATTTTCGATCACTAGAATCAGTGCCGAGAAATAGACCACAGAAAAAATGATCTCAAAAGTTTTTCCTTTCCTTTCTGATCCCTCAATTTTTCCCTTGACTCACTGTCTATAAATAAGCTAATGATTTCCCCAAAGAATTTCAATTACTCCATTTACCCATCTAAACTGATCCTTCAACAAAACCCATCTAAATTGATCCTTCCACGTAACCGTGTTTCTATTTCAATCCTTTTTTAAGTCATACACATATAAATTAGATGTTAATTTTCAAATACTTTAACGTTTTCTTCGTTAATTGACAAATTTTTTTGAGATTTTTGGTCTCAAAAGAGATTCAAATCCTCACTCAAATCCCGTCAATAGGCGTGGCTTTGAGAGCACTTCTCTCCGAAAAAAAAGGAACCGATTATAAATGAAACCCAAGAAATCCCCATTACCAGAGAATTGTATAGAAGATTTATCTTTTAAAACAAACTTTTCTCGTTTTCTGATAAACATTTGTTTACTCTTTTGGGTTCAAAATGACTTTTTGACAAAATTATTTGAAATTATTTTCTGTTTATTATGAAAATAGTGATTTGTAAATGTTTATAAACTATTATAGTTTATAGAAGTGAATCTAATCTTTATAGAAGTGAATCTTTATAGGAATGATCTTCGAATTGTCCCTTGATGCTATGTTGAACCGCTCGCGAAGTCCTGAATGCATTGAGCCAAGACGATCAAAATCTGTCTGCTCGCCAAGGTTGATTTAGATAAGAAAAATCTGTATTGAATGCTAATTTCCCAAGAAAATATCAATAAACGAGTACACAACGAGTACACGAGTAAACTTTTTACAAAAAGTTAAAAAGTTTATGTGTTAAATGCACCTTAAGCGTTCTTCTCAAACGCGATTGGACAGTGACTTCTGTTTTATGAAAAATGAAAAGTCAATCTATACTATAAAAATATAAACGTAAAACCTTTTTAATTAAATCTTTTTGAATAATTTGTTTATTAATCAACCTTTCAGATTGACAGTCTCTTCAACAAACTCGTTGAACGAGCCAGATGTGGAACGCTTGAACACACCGAGTCCCGGTTCGTCTAAAAGTCTAAAAGTCTATCTAATTCAACATAAATAATGTGACACAAACAAATAAAAATACAAACACAAACTCTGTGGCACAAACAACTCAACCCTTACCGCTCTAATACCAAGATATTGCAAAGAAAAAAACTCGTGTATATGGAAAAAGAGGAAAATTTCCTAGCCGGTGGAATCGAATCAGTGACTTCGACTAGGATAAAAGACTTCTAATCACTTGACCATGATGCCACTTGGCCACTTTGAAGAAAACTCTTGATAAACCTTTATATTCAGTAATGTTTGAAATAATTATCATATGCTTAGTTTGAAGTTTTTCGAATTTAAAAGCAAATCAAGAGTTTAAAAACTTTTTAACTTTTGTATGATTAATCGTAAAACTAAAGGATCTTTCCAAAAGTTTAAAGCTTTTAAAAATCAAAATTTTCTTTAATTTTCTCTAATCTCAAATCAAATCCCGGTGTATATCCCATTTTTTTCTATTTTTTCCATTTTTTTTTGGCCCACATTTCGTGTTCTCAGTCCGGTTAATCTCACGAAATGTAGGCAATGGTTTTTAAGTGAAAAAAAAAGAAAAAAAGGAATAATTTCACACAAAATGCGTGAGACATTGATTAAAATATTAAAATTATAGTATGAAAAGGTTATTGAAAACAATGTACCTAAAACTTTCAGTAAACTCATCGCGAAACTCGTTGGTCGACTCGCAAGCTCAAGAGATCAAGAAACATTTTTCATCCGGTTCGTTTTCAGAAAATTACTCAATTTTCGAAAACAACAATTAAAAATTTAAAAATTGATATAAAAATTGATTAAAAAAATTAGATTTCTTTATATTTTTGAAACTCTAAATCATAATTGGATTCTTTGAGAATAAATGAACAAAAAACAAGCAAATTCAGAAAACTTTTGACCCCTAGAGGGTTTTGAATGGGATTTCATTTCAACAAACAATTTTTCATGGCTTTCGTTCGTAAAGAAGTAATTGATTGAATTAAAAAATCAATTTCCAGCTCCACACCTTGACAAGCGTCCACTTACATCGACATTGTCCGTACCAAGGAACTCGCCGAATTCGATGAAAACCCAGCCAGCCAACAAAAACAATCTCACCCCCGGAAAAATCCCATTAGCCGCCCGGAAATCACTGGGTGTCGAGGTGGAATTTAAGCTGTTCAGCTCGGATTCCCTGGCTCCGATCCAAAATCAAATACGAAAACTTTCACTGCGTTGAATCCCATTTAATAGCTTTCATACTGTACTTTTTATAGCACTTTTAGTAAAATCGTCAAAATCATAGACTTTTGCTACTGCAAATTGATTAATTTTAAGTGGAAAGTAATACTTTTCAATTTAATGTTCATTAAATACTTTTATTGTAATCGATTTTCTTTGCATTGAGTGTTTACTCTTCTCTGACCTTTCTTTTCTCCATATTAATCTCTTTTTTCTATTCAAACCCTACTAGATATGGAAAAATATTCCAAACCGAATCTAATTCCACCTTCGTTTTCTTCGCTGATTCCTCTGAAATTTTGTCTACAAACTGAAAATGTAGATTTCTATCTGTAGACAAAATTTCAGAGTAATCGGTCAAGAAAACGAAAGTGGAATTAGATTCGGTTTGGAATTTTCCCATGTCTAAACTCTACGGGTCACACTGTCTGTTTATGAATGTTAAACGAACTAAAATATTCATTTCAACGAATAAAAGCTATGTAGAAGTTCAAGAAAATCGCAAAGAGAAATGGGGAATTTTGTTGAGACACGCTTACATATTGAAGGGAACCGTTGTGAAGAGAGAGGCGGGTGATTGACTGAAAGGAACGGATTATCAGTATTCATTGACCATTCACCTTTCTCTTTGCATCAAAGTGTATCTCTTGAAATGGTGGTATTGGATCTTTGTTGCAATAATCTCCCTCGCAGACACAAACAATGTAGTCGAGAGTGGCGTTCGGAGGAACACCCGGAAAAGAACGCACGAGGAAGCAACTGAATGTGGAAAATGTTGCAAAGCTTAGATCTAATTCAAATTCTAGTTTAGTTCTGGTTCTGGCATAGCTCTGGCATAGCTCTGGCATAGCTCTGGCCCCCATACCTAGCATAGCTCTGGCATAGCTCTGGCATAGCTCTAGCATAGCTCTAGCATAGCTTTGGCATAGCTCTGGCTTTGGCATAGCTCTGGCTTTTTAAAATTATTAGGATTAGTGTTTAAATCAGATTTTACTCATGAAGTAGGGAGGTTTTCTACTTTTTTTTCAACTCCCACTACACTACAATAAGGCCAAATTTCTTATTCAACCGATCAGGAGATGCAAGATAACGTTCAAATAAGTATCTAACTAAATTTTTGTCATTGGACAGTGCACAGTGTTTTGTCTTGTCTCACTTTGGAGAGGACAAAGAGGGACAGGATGAGATGAGACAAAGGAGAGGCGTCTTTAGCCCAAGAATCTAGTTTCCATGTGAAGATCTAGTAGAAAGTATATGCTGATTTCTTCTTTAGCTTTTCGAGGTAATTCGAAATATAAAAAAAATTATACACCAACACCCTTGATTTTCATAATTTTTCATCTTATCCCAACTACTTTCAGTGCAAAAAAAAGAAAGGTAAAAGTTGATTCCAATATTCCAATTCTTTTCAGATAATATTTTTGGAATGAAATTTTGAAATTTCTCCACCTCAGTCCAAGGGAAACCTGTGCAAAAATTTTGTAACCCCATTTTTTCCCCCAAATAAAAACTATGCTTATATCGGATTATTTTGTCCTATTTTCTATCAAATAAACATGGTGAATAGCGGAAATTTTCGGGCTTCAGTTAAGCCTGAAATCCTACATACAATGCTTGTGATCGCAAAATCTCATTTTCAGTTCATTGAACAAAGGAAATCGAGAGGAAATCGAGAGGAAATCAAGCGAGTGGGTGTGGATTAGCCTTTCTTTTAAGTCCAATTTCTTTTTTTTTCGTTCTCTTTCATTGAAATATTAATTAGACGTCTTTTCATTCAATTTAATCAAAATTGGATTTTGAAATCTGGGAATTTATTGGGTTTAAAGTAAAGCGGGGAATTCTGTGGAAAAGTTTGTGTTATTGTTTCGAAAATATTTCGAAATCTAAAAGGAAAAAAACAGAGAAAGGGTTATTTTTTTGAAATTGAAACAAGTTTTGAAATAATTGAAATAATAAACTTTACATTTACTAGTATCAATAACTTCAGTTCTGAAGCTAATTTTGGTTTTGTTAGCGCTTAAAAATCGTCGTTAGATTGTCCAACTCACCCATTCTGTTCAGCGATCAAACTTTCTCGAAGGTGACTCCGCAACGTCAACTCGAAGCAACCGCGAACCACGTATGGATTTGAAGCTTCTGAAGATTCTGAAGATAGTATTTCATAGTATTTACAGTAATCTATTGGCTGAAAATCTTGGCTTTTGACTTACCTGGGAGATTTGGGGTCAGTGTGACACAGAATGGATACACTGAACACAATTGCAACTCGACATTCGGAGTGTCCTCGTCGATCGATGATGAACAACCGGGAGATCTGAAATCGAAATCAATATGCAAACAAAATTATTGCTCACCTAGCTTCAACGGGAACAAAGAAGGTATCGATCTGGTTTCGGATTTGTGTCCGGGCAATCGGCGAGAGACTCTCCTCTCGCGACACACATCGATAACAGCCTATCGCTGAAATTTCTAGTTTTGTTGTTAAGTTTTTCAATCACCGCTTAACCTAAGTAAAACAAACCTTTTACTGAGACAAAGAAAGAAATGTGGAGAAGAAAGAGATCAATTTGCATCCCATTTGTCGATTTTTAGCTCATCGCCTAATTCTTGATTTAATTGTTGAAAATTGAAAGCTTTAGAGAAATATTTAAAACATTATGTGCTTGTCTTGGATTGACCCAGGTAATCGGAGCCAATAAGAGAAAAAGGAAAACATTTGGTCAAAAGGGGGGTAATTAGTGAAAGAGACAAATGAATGGAGGAGAATGGGTCAATGGAGAAGGAAGGGAAACAGAACAGGTTGAGAATGTTTAGTTTTTAGAGGAAAGAGGAGAATTTAAAGATGAAAGTTAAAGATGATTGTGCAGTTTAGTTCTAGATGTCTCAGTAAACAATAAATCATTACTTTATCTTTATCATTACCAGTACTTTATAGTTCCCAATTTCTGAAACATTGTAGAAAGTTAATGGCTATATTATTCATCGAAGTGGTCAGAATGGTCATGAATAGATCGTTCCTTTTTCTATACTTCTTGTAATTTGTCTTGTAAATGAGAAAATGAGACAATGAGACAATAAATATTGGGTTGTCCAGTTATGAATGCGCGTTTTTACTATTTTGTAAATTTCTCAAGATATCGAACAGATGTAGATGAGTGTTATATATCATTCGAAAGCTGAAGATCTCCTCTACATTTTGGAATAAAAAAGTTTTTGAATTCATTCAACTTTTTGGGAAATTGACTGCACAAAGGGAGAGATCGTTTTCAAAAAAACCCATTCCAGCTTAGCTAGTCCTCAAGTTTTATCGTGTAAAATAACCGCCCAGAAAAGAAAAGGTGCTCTGAAATTGTTATACTTTTAAAAAAAGTTGTATTGATATATCTATTGGCCAAACATCAAATGGTTAACTCCATTTGAGCGAAGCCAAAACTTGATCCAAAGGCACCCTTCCAATTTTTGGCCACCTCTTCTTCTGTGCAGTCAATTTGCCCAAAAGCTGAACAAATTCAAAAACTTTTTATATCAAAATGTAGAGGGAGATCTTCAGCTTTCGAATAATACTCATATAAATCTTTTTCTTGATTTCGGTATCTTGAGAACTTTGCAAAAAATTAAAAAACGCGCATTCATAACTGGACAACCCAATAATTTGTCATTTAAATGAAACAATTTAAAGAACAATTCTGATAATGGACTTGATCAACATCCGAATGAATAGAAAAATAGTTTTAAATCATAAAAAGTTTAATTTTTTGTTAACAGTTTGCAATAATAGAGCTCTGTTTATTCTTCAGAGAATAACATATTGAATCATGGCATTGTTGAGAGGCAAATTCGTCAAGTTTAGTGAATATTTTCCGCGAGTCTCAGCGTGCCCCAAATCCCCTGTGGATTGTGGGGAGAAAGAGCTTCTCTTCACCACAATGGACAACACATTTCCCTCCTTCACTTTTATATTACTCTTTTATGTGAAGAAATGAGAATTTGCATAAAAACTTGGCTATATTTAGTTAGCAGAGTTTTATGGTTTATCAAACACTTGGTTAAGGTCTTATAGAAGGAGGAATAGGTTAACGGGGATTTCACGGATGTGCAAAGAAGGCAAGTACAGAAAAAATGTGAAAAGAAGGCAAGTACAGGAAAACAAATGCATTTTAAATCTAATCTTGTATTAGAAAATTCACGATTTAAAGATCTCTCGAACGATTTAGAGATCAGAGCTCGATTCCTTCAATCCTGTAGATCTCATTGTAAGACTCTGGAGCCGGATTGATCCTTTCAAAAGGTGTGAAAAGCAAAATTGAAAGAAGAAAGGTGAAAGGTGACGAAGAATCGGATATCCTTGAGGAGAAATTTGAGATATCCGTCTTGGACAGTGTTTTGTTCGTCTCACTTTGGAAAAGACAAAAAGGGACAGGATGAGATGAGACAAAGGAGAGGCGTCTTTAGCCCAAGAATCTAGATTTAATGTGAAGGTCTAGCAGAAAGTACGAATGAAAAACCTATAGCAACTAGCTAACCCGATAACAGATTAAAAGACAGGACACTGTTGAAAATCGTTAGCTCTGTTCCTTTAGTTACTTCAGCGAGTGGGTGGAAAGCAAGATACTCTGGTGCAAGTAGCAATAAAGTATCCAACAGTAAAAGCAATCAGCAATCAGCAATCAAATACAAAAAAAAAAATCAGATTTATTTAAATGTTTTAAGTGTTTAGAAAAACTCAAAACTTTTTGAATTCTTCATAAAACAAAAGCTCGTTGTTGCAAAAAAAACTACTTTTTTGGGTGCCAAGCTGAACAAGAAGTTGAAGAAGAAACCAACTAGTTGCAACTATCACAAGTTTTACGATGAATATAAAATGTGATGAGGCATACACAGTGAAAAAAGGCTGAATTGGAAGGCATTTTTGAAGAGAATTCTTTTCTTTTACAAACTTTTCTCCCTTCTTTACTGTGTTCTCGTTGTTTGTGAGTGCTCGAGCAGAGAAAAAGG